CGTGCCCAAGATCCCAAGAGGAGAATGGAGGAGAAAGGATTGCAGCGTGACCATCTCCCCTGGGGGGTGATTTCTCGCTTTCTGTCTCTATGTCTCTTTCTGTCTGTCTGGCGAGCGCACGCGCCCTACAGTGAAAACCTCTCCAAAAAAAATTATAAATAAATAGCACATCTTATTTTAATACATCATCTATCATAGTGGACTTTGAGGTTTTCTTGCTTTTACTTTGTGTAATAATTACATATGCTTCCATGAATGTCTCCTTAGGGCAGATTTGGAGCAGCAGAATTGCTAGATCATTGCCATTGCCAAATTATCTTTCCAGTAGTTTGGACCAATTTGTTCTCTCATGAACAAGGTTTGGAATTAACTGTTTCCACTGACGTTCTTCAGTACATTATAACTTTTAACTTTTTCCAATCAGATGAGCACATCTTTTGCCTCAAATGTGAAGGGGGGATAGTGGTGAAATAGTACAGTGCAGCACTTGGCAAGGCAGAGCCACGAGGGGTCCATTTCATATCTGGAGCCCTCCCTGAGTATATCAGGCATCGTGTGTGGCCATGTTCTGGGGCTAAGGCTGGGGACATCAGGACCCCGTTGGGCATTCCATGTCTCTGTCTGTCTTGCTCTGTCTCTCTCACTTATGGAATATGTAAATAAACTTTAAAAATTTTGGAAGATACAGTGAACTGTCTTGTTAAGACTATGTGTAGGGGAACCAACAGATGGCATAGTAGTTATGTTGCTGGACTCCCACATGGCCAACCATAGTCTGAGTCCCAGACCTGACTGCCTGAAATTCACACTGGACACATGTGTGTATGTGGCCAAAATCTAGGAGGAGAATTAAGGGGAAGGGTTTGTGGCAGGGCCATCCCCTCTGGGGGGGGGGGTATTTCTTGCTTTCTCTCTTTCTGTCTCTCTGGTGAGTGGATGCACCCTATAGAAATAATCTCTCTAAAAAAATTATGTGTAGGCAGACAGAGCTGTGAATGCACAGAGGAAAGGCCATGTGAAGATGCAAGGAAGAGATGGATATCTGCCAGTTGAGGAGAATTGCCTCAAAAGAATACCCCTGCTGGCCCATTGATCTCAAACTTCCAGCCTCCAGATCCGTGAGAAAATAAATTTCTGTAGTTCAAAAACAGAATAAAAAAGATTGTGTATAAGTCATATATCAGATATATTTTTTAAAGAATTATTTAATTTTAGGTTTTTTTTTTAATTTGCTATAGGGCACATGCACTCACCTGAGACAGACAGACAGAGAGAGAGAAACAGAGACACAGAGAGAGAGAGAGGAAAGGGGAAAAAAAAAGCCACTAGCTCTGGGACTCAAACCACAGTCAGTCATGTAGGAGCCCAGCACATTAATCACCATGACACTTGCTAGCTGCAGAGATATTATTTTTTAATAACTGCAAACATCAAAGTCTTCCATTTCACCTCTTCATTTCATTATCTCCTATACTATAAATTCTTGGTCCTATGATTATAATCCAATTTTTTTTTGGAGAGGTTTTTTGCTATAGGGCGCGTGCGCTTGCCAGACAGACAGAGAGAGACAGAGAGACAGAAAGCGAGAAATCACCCCCCAGGGGGGATGGCCATGCTGCCATCCCTTCCCCTCCAGTCTCCTCTCAGGATCTTGGGCACGCACGCACACGCGCCCGGCGTGAGTTTTAAGCCACCAGGTCTGGGACACGAACCGCGGGTCGACTACATGGGAGTCCAACAACATAGCCATTACGCTAACTGCTGGTTCCCGATAATCCAAATTTTTTTAAGATCTTGTTAGTTTTGGGGAATTGAAAATAAATATGAAAAACTTAAATATCATTTTATTGAAGATCTAATTAATAATGGAACCAAATCCATACTACATGTCATTTTTTGTTTTTGTTTTTGTTTTCAGTGCATGTTACAGGAACTTTGTCCAAAACAAGGAGTTTCTTTAGGAAGGACTTCCCTATATAAATAGCATCTGCAGTTTCCTTTTTCTTGTATTTAAAAATACCTGTTCTGTATAGCTGCAAATAGCCAATAACTTAATCATATACCTTAGATTTTTAACTCCATTATTTAATCTTACTGCACTTATGGATGGATACTATACAGTATCACTCATCTATAGTTCATTTCCTGTCACAAAACATATAATCTGGGATTATCTATTCTTCTATCAAATATGAAGTGATTCTTACTTAACAAATTAATTTCTGAAAGTCTAACCTGAAAGCTAAGAATATGTAATTATAAATCTAAAGTCCTCTTTTTTTTCCATATTAACATCACCAAGTTAAAAAAACAGTTTTGCCCTTGGTTCTGCTTAGATTCCTTTTATCCTAGAGAGATTTTTGCTATAGGGTGTGTTCACTCACTACAAAGACAGAAAATCAGAAATCATCCCCTAGAGGGGTGGCCGTGCTGGCATTGACTCTTATGACCAAGAATAACAGCAATTTCAAGGGTTTATGCAATGTGTGATTTTTTAATTTCAGAGCCTGTAAAATTTGGTGCAAAAATATTAATAAATATATTTCTGTCATAGTTTTTTTTCATATAATTTCTCAACCTCTTACAAATTGAAAAATTATGATAATGTTTTCTAATTATGTCTAATGTATTTGGTTGAAAATGGGAAGACTATGGGACCAGCAGTTAGAGTAATGGCTATGTCGGTGGACTCCCATGTAGTCGACTGCGGTTCGTGTCCCAGACCTCGTGGCTTAAACTCACGCCGGGCACGTGTGCATGCGTGCCCAAGATCCCAAGAGGAGAATGGAGGAGAAGGGATTGCAGCATGGCCATGCCGCCGGGGTGTGATTTCTCGCTTTCTGTCTCTCTGTCTGTCTGCTGGGCGCACGCGCCCTATAGCAAAAACCTCTCCAAAAAAAAATGAGAAGACTAACAAATAAGAAAATGGATCCTAATGATACTGCATTGATGTTAAATTTCCTGGGAATAAATAATTGTTAATCATTATTATTAATTATGTTGACTTTGTGTATTACATTATTGTAGACATGACAACCAAATGGAATGTAAAATTGTGATTAGATTCTGGATTTTAAAAATAAAAAGCTTTAAAGAACATGTGGATAATTAATGAAAATTGAATGGTCATACATTAGACAATAGTATTGCATAGGTGTTAAACTTCCTTGATGTTGTATTTACATTATAATCATGGAAGAGATTGCCCTTATTCTTAGGATATATGTGCTCAAGAAATTAGGGATGGTTGGGGCCAGCAGGTGGTATAGTGGCTAAGGTGCTAGACTCCTGCATGGCCAATCACAGTTCAAGTTCCAGCCCTGGCAGCTTGCTTTCTCATTTTCTCTCTCTCTGGTGAGACCCATAGCAAATAGAATTATAATAATAATAATACTTAAATAAACTAAATAAATAATTCTTTAAAAAAGAAATTAGGGGGGGCCGGCAGGTGGCATGGTGGTTAAAGGTGCTGGTCTCCCACATGGCCAACCATGGTTCAAGTCCTAGACCTGGTGGCTTCCTTTCTCACTTTCCCTCTCTCTCTGTCTTTCTCTGGTCAAAGTGGAAAATACTAATAAATGAAGTTAAAATAAAATCATTTTTTTTAGATAAAGAAAGAAATTAGGGATGGCATGTGTTCTAAAGTCAACAATATACTCTCAGTAAGTACAGAAAAAACTGCATATGTGTGTGTATATTTATATGTACATGTATGTATATTCATATATGTATGTATTTATCAGAGTGTCTCTCTCTCTCACACACACACACACACACACACACATACACCTACACACACACACACAATTAGAAAAGGAGAATCAGAAATGGAGAGGGAGACAGAGAAGTAAATAGCAATGTGATCTGCCTGATTAATCTACATGTGGACATAGAGGTGCTCATTATACTAGTCTTTTAATTTTCATACACATTTGAAACTTTTCAAAATAAAAACTGGAAGGAAAATAATTATATTTACTTAGTGAAAGCACATTTACAATGTATAACATTTTTAAGAGCCTAGTGGGTCAATAGCTTATATATGTAAAATAGTCATTATGCATGTAGTTGGAAATGTTTTCAATGATTGATAGAAGTATTTCAAACATCACTTGGTTCTGAGATAATAGAATTAGTGCACTGCTTTTTGTATATCTCCAAAATTACCATCATGATATAGATGTTTAACAGAGATTTCAATATTCTTCACTCCCACAAAAAAGCTTCTCAAGCTCAGAAACAATCTTCTCAACCTGATCTATACAATGTTATCAAAATATCAATAGAAATTCCGACTCAACTAGGTCCATATTCAAGTACAGATAGACACGTACAAGAGAAAGAATGAGCGAATCTATAGATAATTTGAACAAAAGTCCACCAGTGCATGTGCCGTCTTTAATATCAAAAGACAGGCTTTCCCCAAATCACCCAGATAATTCGAAAAGCAACAGACCACATTCACTTTGAATACATCCTGCCACTGCCACATAGAAAAACATGATCACAAGCTCACTGAACTGAATAATTGAGAGTGAAATCCAATTGGAATGTACTGTGATTGTTAGTCTCTACAACTACAACACTGTAACTGAATTCAAGAGCTGTGTTGTCCCTGCCAAATGCTGCCTGGGTTTTTAGGCCTTCTTTTAAAAACACGAAGCTAACCCAAGTAGCAATTAGTGAAAGAGGACTGAATAAATTATACAACAAACATTTGAGCAGACCAATCAAATATTTCAGAGTAAGAAAAAAAAATGTGTCACGTCCGAAGAATGGACAAGAGAAGGAAACGGTCAACTTAATTTCTCTTCATTGTCCAACTCCATTGAATGTTTACGTAAACTCCTACTCACCTCTAATTTTGTAAGTGTGACAAGTGTTTTAAATGTTGTAAGATTGGATCTGAGTTCTGGTGATAAAGAGCTAAGAAAGTGTCAGAAGAGAAATGACAGAAAATGTTAGCAGAGTTGCAGAGCCAGTTGCCTCCTTTTTCTTACCTTCACTAACCAGTCCGCCCTTTGGGTACTGCCGAAACACAGTGGTTGACCCAGCAGAAATGATCGAGTCAGCCAGTGTTCCTTCCAGAAATGTTTGCAAGCCTTTCACTGGTGAGACCAAGAGACTAAGTTGCTCGTTGCATTGCCATTCTTTTTATAACTGATCCCATGGAAAAAGAGTTGTTTTTACTCAAGTCCGATTGTGCTAAAGAAGCAGTGGGAAGTCCCGAGAAGTGGGGAGGCAATAACTGACAAACCCACATCGAGCCACAGAATATAGTTTCTTCCTCTTTTTCATAAAATGAAACCTATCTATGAAACTGTCTCTTGTTAAAATAGCTTATTGCTACATATTATGTAAGAACACTATCATCATAATTACATTTTCTTCCTATAATAAGAAATTCTCTAGAAACCCTCCCCACAAAGAGAACCCAAGTCAGGTATGACTTCACACAATTCTTCGTCTCATCAGTAATCTATCATTTTTTAAAAGCATTCTTTCTCAATTATACTTCTAATTTTCAAAACTGCAAATGAAAACAGTTTTCTCCCTACAATTACCAAAGACCAAAACAATAATACAGTGTGTAGGCAAGGCTGTGAAGAAACAGGCACTTTCAGAACTACTGATGAGATTCTTAACATATTTAGAGGACAATTTCCGGAACCTGTCAAAAATTAAATATTGATACCCTTTGACCCAAACAACTCCATTGCTATAAATTTCTCCAAGTGATATAGTTGCATTTGTGCACAAAGACATGTGTGAAAAGATATTTGTTGCAGCATTGTTTGAGAAAGTAAATGAATATGAGCCAGCCTTGTGGTCTAGTGATTAAGGAAACTGTGTCCTACACGGCCAACTGTAGTTCAAATCCCAGCTCCACAGCTTGAAAACATTCAAGGCACATTTGTGTGTGTGTACCTAAAGTCCCACCTGGATGGAGAAATGGAGAAGGGATTACAACCTGATCACACCCCATTTGGGAGTGCTTTCTCCCACTCCCTGTCTCTCTGTCTCTCTGTGTCTCTCTGGCCAGTACACACATCCTGTGGCAATAATCTTTTAAAACTAGGTGAATATCTTGGAGATTAGCAGATGGCATAATGGTTACATCGTTGTACTCCCACGTAGTCAACCGTGGTTTGAGTCCTGGACCCAAACGGCTTAAAACTCACTCCAGGGGGCCAGCAGGTGGCATAGAGGTTAAACGTATTGGATTCTTACATGGCTGACCACAGTTCAAGTCCTGGACCTGGTGGCTTGCTTTCTTGCTTTCTGTTTCTCTCTCTCTCTGTCTCTCTCTGGTCACATTTTAAAAATAATAATAATTAATGGAATTAAACAGATAATTCTTAAAAGAGAGAGAGAGAAAGAGAGAGAGAGAGAGAAAGAAAGAAAGAAAGAAAGAAAGAAAGAAAGAAAGACAGACAGACAGACTCATGGCAGGCACATGTGTATGGGTACCCAAGATCCTGAGAGGAGAATGGAAGAGAAGGGATTAAGTCATGGTCATCCCCTAGGGGGGGGTAATTTCTCAATTTCTGTCTCTTTGTCTCTCTGACAAGTGCATGTGCCTTATAGCAAAAGTCTCTCTCTTTAAAAAAATAAATAGGTGAACATCTCTACTTAATGAATTTTACTTGTTTACTTTTCTTCAATGACTTATTTTTAAAGTCATATCTTTGAAAGTGTACTGGCATTTTTTGTTTCTGTTAGGATCTTTCATAATTTTTTACAGTGTTTCCTAGAACATTACTTAGATACAGTTGAAAAGGCAAGCTCCCATCCATGAGCCATGATAAGGATACTTTCTCTCCTAGTACTGACTGCCTTGACCTGCCACCACAAGAAATGCCAGACTCACTGCCACCCTCCTCCCCAGGGGCAACTTCATTTGCAGTGTAATCCTGTAAAATCAGGTCCAGGGATATTTCTAGGCTTTTGTAGCCCATCAGGGATTTAACTCTGATCAAGAGGTCCCAACGCCTTCAGGGCCAAACATTGCTTTATGTCACTGTAGTGAAGGTTCACCCACAACTCTGAGGATACTCTAGAATGCATATTTCCTACCTCCAGCAACACTCTCTGGTTGGATTTCCTATGAAATCACCTGCCACTGTATTCAATAATCACTGTGGGGTGATTTCATCTGTTCTAGGCTGGCTAAAATCACATATATTGTTTTATTCACATACAATATGCAGAATTTTTTTTGAGAAGTTTTTGCCATAGGGTGCATGCGCTCACCAGACAGACAGAGACAGACAGAGACAGAAAGTGAGAAATCACCCTCCAGGGGGGATGGCCATGCCACAATCCCTTCTCCTCCATTCTCCTCTTGGGATCTTGGGCACGCATGTAAATGGGCCCGGCGTGAGTTTTAAGCCACCGGGTCCGGGACGCAAACTGCAGTTGACTACATGGGAGTCCAGCAATATAGCCATTACGCTAACTGCTGGTCCCCTCCAATATGCAGAATTTTGATCCTACTACCTTAACTTTGTCTCTTAAGTTACTCCTTTTATGAAAATCTTTTTTTTTTCAAAGAAAAATTTCTGAATTCAAAAGTTGGCATAATGTAAAGTTAGTTTACCATTTCTCTTTTGAGAAAACTTGAGCATATGAAATTGGTTTTAAATTGCTTTCTCTTTGCTGACTATAATAAAATATAATTATATCCTTTGTAGCTGAAATCTTACAATATGATTTTCTACCAGTCTGCAGAATGGTAGGTAAAAGTTATTGCCTTGATTTCTGTGCCACTGAATGGATATTATTCCTGTCATTCCATTACCCCTGTTGGTGTGAAAAACATGCTCTGAATTATTTCCATTGTGATATCACCCACACCTAACTCACTCTCAGTCCTCACCAGGTTTCAACCATCCTAGTCACCCTCTGCTTACCTTCAAGTGCTCTTTTAGTTTTTTGAAAAGAATTATTTATTTCATTTATTATTATTCCCAATGGTTCAGCAAAGTGTCAACAACCTCATGGTTCCTTTTAACTTTCATGTTCTGACAGAATCATATAAATCCTGATGACCCTGAGTCACTGATTCCCTGGTCTATGGCATTCTTGGCCTTTTGATCAAGAATTTTCTCAGTGACTTTATAGAAATAGAGAGTATTGGACTTGAATTTGGTCAATCCAGCTTCATACCTTAGCTCTGCCACTCAGTAACCACATGACTTGGGCAGAGAGAGGTACCTTCCTGAGCCGTGGTTTCTGATTAATAAAATGAGGATGGTAATAATGTCTAGAGTGATGTAGAGCTACATTTGTTGGTAAAAATACCAGTGATGTACCTTTATATAAAAACGAAAGTTACTCAATGTTATGTATGGTATGATCACACTTTTTGCAAAGAACAATACATATGCACACACCCACATAAATCATCTAAATGTTTATAAAGGTACTTCTGGACAATATAGGGGTAAATGTTTTTTTTAAAAAAACCTTCATTTATTATTATTATTCTATTTTAGCTGAGAGAGAGAGAAAGCACACTGCCAGGTTCAAGACTCCAACCATGGACAGCCACGTGGGAGTCCAGTGCATTAACCACCGTGCACCTGCAGGACCCTCCAAGTGTGTGGGTTTTTTTTTTTTTTTTGGAGACGTTTTCATTATAGGGCACGCGTGTTCGCCAGAAAGACAGAGAGATAGAAAGTGAGAAATCACCCCCCCAGAGGGGATGACCACACTGCAATCCCTTCTCCTCCATTCTCCTCTCGAGATCTTGGGCATGCATGCACATGCGCCTGGCATGAGTTTAAGCCACCAGGTCTAGGACTTGAACCGCAGTCAACTACATGAGAATTCAGCGACATAGCCATTACACTAACTGCTGGTCCCCCAAGTGCTTTTAATAGCACTCTAAATGCTATATATACACACACACACCTGATTTATTCACAGATTTACTTCATCAAACATCAACTGTCAAGATAAGTCATTTGTCTACCTGAAGTAGGCTCTCTGACCGCTTACAATACAGTTTTGTCTCTCAATACTCAAATGACACAATTGAACCTGTTTTTCAAAGTTGTCAAGGCCTCTTAATTCTCAAGTCTAATTGCCTGTTACTCAGCCTATATCCTCTTTGACATTTCTACAGTATTTGACACTATTCGCTAATTCTGTCTCTTTTTTAGTGGTTTAATTTACTTATTTATTGATTGATTTACTTAGATTTTTGCTATAGTGTACGTGTGCTCACCCGAGAGACAGAAACCAAGAAATCACCCCCAGGGGGATGGCTACACCACATTCCCTTCTCCCCAATTCTTCTCTCGAGATTTTGCACACTCATGCATACGTGCCTGGCATGGAGTTTTAAGTCACTGGGTCCAGGACTTGAACCACAGTCAATAATGTGGGAGTTCAGCAATGTAACCATTACACCATCTGCTGTTCCCATTAGTAGTCTGTTTTTAAAAAATACATGTACAAGGATAAAAAAAAAAAAAGCTGTGTTACAAAAAGATACACAGTGCAAATTAAACCTATCTGATCTCTAGAGCTTAGGTCCCTTCCCCAGAAGCAATTACCAGATGTCAGTTTCTTATGTATCAGTCCAACGTTTACATAGATCCCCTTTCATATAGAAACTACAAGAAAATATATATGCTATTCTCTCCCTTACATTTTTTCGGTATAAAATTTTCCATGTCAGTACATGCATACTCATCACATCTTTTAAACTATTATACATAAACATTCCATGTATGGATGTGGCAATAATACTGTATTTAACCTGTTTTTATTAATGCAGACCCTCCTTTAGGAAGAGCTTCCACCACCACCCCGTTGTCTTTGTGTCATTTCACACTGCTATTTGTTCTATCTTTCCACTTTTTCCTTTCTAATTTCTTTTGTTGGTTTCCTATCAACCATCTACTTCCCAGAACCAACATGCTTAGCCTTCTTTTTCAGTTTCTTATTTTGGTGAACTCATCAACCACCATACCTTTTATTATCTTCTTTGGATGATCTGTGTATTTATATCTCTGATTCTGAAGTCTCTATCTTACAATCACTAGATTTTCATTTATGAGTATTTGACCACTTCACACACATAGGGCCAAATCTTTCATCTTTTGGCCCTAAAAATTCATATTCTGACTTACCTTGATAGCATTACTCAAGCTCAATACCTTGACGTACTCTGTAACTTTGCCTTTTTTTTTTTATCTTTACAAGTAGTCACC